GCAACTTGAGGCGTCTCAAAGCACCGGACACGACGGTGAAGAAGGTGTTGGAACCGTGGAAGACGAGCCTCGGGATGCCGAACTCTTTGGCGACATCCGAAGCCCAAGCGTAGAAAATATCTGCGACGATGCTGTCAGGACGGTGAGCTCGGAGGAGTTGCTTGAAGGGAGCTTCGAGCATGTTGATGGCGGTCGCGAATTCTGGGGTGATTTCAGAGTTGTTGAAGGCGAAGAGGTTCTCATAGCCTTGAGAGATGCCGGACTCGAGGCATGGAAAGGAGAGGACGAGGATCTGGATGGGGTGGCGGAGGGAGGCGTCGGCGTTAGCGAGGTCGAGGGTGGGCTGGATGAGGGGAACGTTGGCGGCGGTGGTGACGATGGTGGATCTGACGCCGCGGCCGGCGAAGACGCGGGCTAAGTCGACCATGGGGATCATGTGGCCGGGGGCGAGGAAGGGCAAGAAGAAGACGTGGAGATCCATGGCAAGGAGAGGCTAGTTGTGCATGGAAGTGTTGGCGTGGGGGTGAGGGAGGACAGCTTTATGCAGTAGTTATTGGGTATCTTAAAAACTTCCCGTGGTTGGATATATTTACGAATGGAATGTTAGCTGCAGAACGAGGCACCATAAATAAAAATGAAAGGTCCCTTTGCCGTCATTAAATTGCCTCGTTGCATGAAATTAAAATTAATATATTATTTTTTTTAAAAAATAAGGTAGATAATATATATATTATCTATGGTTAATCCTCATTTGAATCTTTTCATATTTTAAGTTATTCTACCATATATAAAAAATACTTTTAATAAAACTAAAAAAAATTATAATCTTACACTTTACAACTAATAGGAAATATATAATCACAGCTATCGCTGATTAACTAACTCAGGTCAATTACCAAACTGTCTCCTTCTTAATAATAGTTTTAAATTTATAAATTAATTATTAATTTAAATCTTTTAATACGTTTTTTTTATAAACTATAATTATAAATGATTATTAAGCAACGTAGTAATAAGGAAAGATCGTTTTTTTTTCCCCTCTTCCCTCTCTCTCTCTCTCTCTCTCTCTCTCTCTCTCTCAGGCGACTCATCCTCAGCATCGACCAGGTGCGTTGATCCATCCATCCTAAGGGACAATGCTAATCTTTTTTCATTATAATGTTTATTTTCTTTTCCCTTTTGGTTTAGGGATTTTTTAGGCTCTCTTTTTTCTTCCTAGAAATCGGATGTCGTCGGCGGTCATCGGCTCCCGATCCATCACAGGAAGATTCGATGCCGTCAAAATAAAGTCAACGAGTCAAAATAAAAAAATACAACATACTTTAGGAAAGAAAAGTTATGTCAGGTTCATTGATGAAAAGGTAAGTACATTTCTTTATAAACATTCGATGTATTTTTTATATTTATTAATGATATTATAACTAGAAATTATACTTGTATATGTGGATGAGGATGCAGCAAGAGTGATTGTATATGTCACTTTAACTTTTCATTACTATTGTGATTTTTATTAATTTAATTTTTTTATTAAAAATATATTTGATTTTATCACAGGAACAAATAAAGAATCTTTAAGGCATAATATCCTGAATTTACTATGATTGATATTTCATTAAGTGAATATATCATTATATATATATTATATATATAAGCATTGCATTTAAAAAAAAGCACTATAAAAATTTTTATATTGTATTCTACTAACTATGAACCAAGAAGTGTATTCCTCGTATGTAATTGAATGAACCGTCTAATCATACACTTATTAATCCTTGAAGAGAATTGCTTTACTTATTCTTGATGGGGATATATAAACAATCATGATAATTCATTCGCGTATGCATCTAGGGAGTTTTACTTGTTCTCGATGAGAATACATAAATAATCATGATAATTCATTCGCATATGCATTCAGAAAATAGTATGATAAAATATTATAAAGAATCATGTTTGATATACGATCTACTAGACTATGTTAATCAGTGGCTCCACACTATGATAGGTTTATAGCTCCTTTCACAATGTGCACTTTCAATGTAGACTACTAGTAATATATATACTACATACTAACAATCATGTCAATATATTAAATTTTAAAAAATAATAATCATTTTCAAGTGATAGATTCAAACTTTTAAATTTATCAAATCATAAAAACATAAAACATCAATATCTTAATAGTCCTCAATCAATTTTAACTTAATTTAAATAGTCTAATTGACTTGAACTAAGCTCAACTCAATTAGGACATAATGGAATTACATAAAATCTTTATAGAATAAGTCTGGAATCACTCTAGACCGGTTTAATTTAGATTTGATTGATTTTAATTAGGCCAAGTATATATGAACTAGTCAAGTTAGTCTAAAATCACCTTAAACCAGTGTTCAAACTTATGTGATTTAGTAAATTAATGAGCTCAAACCAATAAATGAGAGAAAAAATTAGACTATATAGTATAATGTTAGCCTAAACCAATGGACCCACCTAAGCCTAGATCACGTCCGTTGCATATGCTTGTCTCAAGTAATAGGTTAGGTTAATGTATAATGAGCTGGATAGAGAAGTGATGATGTATCTAGCATTAGCTGAGCAAGCCTAACTTTGCAAATTGGCTAAGCTTTATCACTAAATTGGGCCATACTTAGACTCGCGGGTTGGGTTGTATCTACGCACATGAGTTTGAGTTATATCTGAATACATGAATTGGGTTATACCTAACCACATGAGTTGAATCATGCTTGGCCATATAGGTTCAGTCATACCTTATCATATGGATTGGGTTATACTTGATCATAAAGGTTGGTTTATACATGGTCACATGTGTTTTGAAAGATTAACCTAACTTAAGTTAGGCTCCCATTAAACTCCTCTTATCAAATTAAATTTTAATATTTTAAAGTATTAGAGAGTAACTCAAATCCATAAATTAAAGAATTTAAATCTATAATCTTAAATTTAAATTAATTAATTAATAAAAATTTACACATAATTTTAAAACATGAATATATCTAATTAAATAAATTAAAATTATTATATTAATCTAAAAATAAGAATTTTAATAATTAAATCATTCTTATGATTAACTTAAGCTTAAGAGACCATTATAACTTAATTAATCATTTTAACATCACAAATCAATTATCATTATTTATTAATATTTTTTTAAAAAATTAAAATATTATTATGTATCATAAAATTATAACAATCCTAATATTAAAGATTTAAAACATAAATCACAATTGATTATAAAAAAAAATAGAGGATTCTATCTCTCCTCGAGAATCCTCACTCTTATTACTAGGCTTGATGACGAATAAGAAAAGAGCCGCCTTTATATAGGAGAAGATCTACCTAAAATGTAAGCATTAATTTAATTTTTAATTTTAATTTATTTTTATTTTACTTTCATACACAAAAATAAAAATATAATATTTATTTTGTATGGTTCACATACAAAAATAAAATATGAACTATTTACTTTCTAAAAATCACATCATTATTATGAAATAAATAAATTAATAATTTAATTGATTGATGAAAGTTTTAATTTATTCACATGATTAAGGAAATAAATTTTAATCATTTCCTTAATCATACTACATAACTATATGATCGATGATTATAATTTATCTCTCCTACTTCTCTCTTGGTTCCCATTAAAGATATTTATCTCACTTCTCTCTAATATTCAAGATCATTTCAAAAAAACTGATGAATTCTAGAAGAGATAAATAGAGCAACCTTAAAACTAAAATATTTTATTAAACATAATAACTTACCATATATTCAACCCTAAGATTTTTTAACCTCTTTTAGCTCCACTTCATCTTTCCTTGGTATTTAACTTAATTTCTCTTCATATCGTTAATTCTATTGATAGAAATATCACAGGGTTTATCATGAGCACGTATTGACTCTACCTCACTTCCGTTTACCATGTGCGGTATTTTCGTTAACAAAATCAATAATGTGAGGAGAAATAAAATTAAATATTAAAAGTATAAAGATTCCAGTATAATTTTTTGAAAGTGTAAGGATCGAAGTGCTAAAGATAACTAATTACGAGAATAATCTATAATTAGTCTAACTTTCTGTCTGACTTAATTTAAGTTCATGTGGTAATACAAAATTTTTTATTCCAAGTAATTTATTGAATAACTTGTTATTCCCATCATAAAAATACTACAAAAGATGAATTTTGTAGAATAATAGAAAGTTTGCTAAAGAATGAGCACTTTGGTTACAATTCTTAGCTAGCATCACTAACGAGATGCTTCCAATCCTATATGAAATTATTTATGTTATCGATCCAAGTGGTCAGTAGTCAATGTGCATATTATGTAATAATTCATATATTTGATGCATAGGCAAGTTCTCTTCTATATATATATATATATATGGTGTTGGAAGATGAAAATATTAATTTAAGATTCAATCTAGATTCTGCATGATAAACCCGAGTTAATACCCTCTTAAAAATCGATGGCAAATAAGATGGTGTTGTACAAATTCTCGATTCATATAACAATAATTGCAACATAATTCAATTTGCAGGGACAAAAAGATTTTGAATTTAACTCTTATCTTGATCCTTTGTATATATTTCTTACTAACTCTATCTTTATTTTGAATTTAACTTATAATATTTGATCGGTTGATAAAATGATGAAACGACACAACTCACTTGGATCCATTTAGGAAAACTCAATCAAAATAGAGATAAAAAAATATCTTTATCTACATATTTAATATTTTTTTTATTTTTAAGAAGTCAAAAGAAAGATTCTATTTTATCTACATAAAATAAGAATATAATGGATACATAAAATAGAATAGTGGTTCAAGCTCAACGAAATTAATGAGTCAATCATCTTAGACTCTAATAGATTTAAAACTTTTAAAAAAATATATTCAAAAAATAAATTAGAAATGAAATATATAATATTTAAAAATCATAATGTATCAAAGAACACAATAAATATTAGAACGGTCACCATTAGTCACTAATGAATGTGATTTTATAAACCTATATTTGAAATGCAAACTTCATCCAAATGAGTCCATACAAAGGAGATTTCGTTAATAATAACAATATCCAGCAATGACCCAAAGAGCAAATACAAACGAAAACACTTCCACTAAATCCCACGACCAGCTTTCAGGTTGACCATATCAGCCAGAAGGCAGCTGAGGTCCATGTGAGAGGAACCACCCTCTGCGACCGCCTTGATCGCCAACTCCTTGAGCTTCTCTGCCGTCTTCCTCCTGCTCTCTGCCTCCTCGCCGCTGCCCATCAGCTCGTCCACCGCCTTCTTTATTGCTTCTGCCTTCACGAGCGCCCTCTTTTCCTTGCGGTGGCTGCACACTGTTGCTCCCACCGCAATCCCGACCCGCAGCACGTCCACCACCAGCTTCTCGTTGAAGAATTGCTCCGCAAACAGCGGCCAGGTCACCATCGGCACGCCTGCGCTTATCCCTTCCAAGCACGAGTTCCATCCGCAGTGCGTCACGGACCCTCCGACTGCCTCATGGTTCAGAATCAGCAGTTGCGGCGCCCATCCCTTTATTAGTAGACCTTTCCCTTCGCCGATCACCCTCTCATTGAACCGTTCTGGCAGCCACTCCGATGGCTCGCCGGCGTTGCTCACTACCCAAATGAACGGGTGATCAGAAGCTTCAAGGCCCAGTGCGATCTCGTGCAGCTGCGTAGTCGTGCATTGGCCTAAACTCCCGAAGCAAACATAGAGCACCGACCTCGGCTTCTTGCTGTCTAACCATGTCAAGCATTCATCGGAGCTAATCGAAGCCGTGTTACCTCTCGCCGCCTTCTCCTTTGCGAGTTGATTGTGGAGGGATAATGGTCCGACGTGCCATAACTTCGTCTCGCTCCCCTTCTTGACCAAATCAATGTAGTCTGACTCTAACTCGTAAAAGCTGTTGACCAGCATGCCATAACTCTTGCGATAGCCATCGCCCAACCGCTCCATTGAGTCATCCGGTTTCGTGATGAATTCTGGGAGCTGCGACCATGTCATCTGAAACCGATGTGGTAACCCGGGCACATCAAAGGCCTGCTCACTCTCATGCAACTTGAGGCGTCCCAAAGCACCAGACACGACGGTGCAGAAGGTGTTGGAGCCGTGGAAGGAGAGCCTCGGGATGCCGAACTCTTTGGCGGCATCCGAAGCCCAAGCGTAGAAAATATCTGCGACGATGCCGTCAGGACGGTGAGCTTGGAGGAGTTGCTTGAAGGGATCTTCGAGCATGTTGATGGCGGTCATGAATTCGGGGGTGACTTCGGGGTCGTTGAACGCGAGGAGGTTCTCGTGGCCTAGGGGTATGCCGGACTCGAAGGACGGGAAGGAGAGGACGAGGATCTGGATGGGATGACGGAGGGAGTCATCGGCGTTGGCCAGGTCGACGGTGGGCTGGACGAGGGGAACGTTGGCGGTGGTGGTGACGATGGTGGATCTGACGCCGCGGCCGGCGAAGACGCCGGCTAAGTCGACCATGGGGATCATATGGCCGGGGGCGAGGAAGGGCAAGAAGAAGAAGTGGAGATCCATGGCAAGTAGAGGGGAGGATAAGTGGAGAAGGAATGGGGGAGGAGAGTAGCTTGTTGTGTATGTATGAGATAATCGGCACGCAGACCGACTTTGTGTAGTCTCGTTGAGTTGATGGTCAAAATCGGCGGCATTTGGTTGGCATCGTATGGAACGAAAGCATCGGACTACCCAACCGCTTGTTTGTGACACTCCGGAGTCCACGAGGCCGGCGGCTAAGAATGAAACACGTCGTATTCAATAATACGACTATTGTTAGTTCATGGATACCGTGATTTGTAACTTAACACAGCCCATTCAGTTATGAAAATACGAATCCATCTCAAAAGCCTAAGTGGATTCCTTGGGAGTAATTTGGTCATGTGATTGAGATAATGTGTAAATTATTGAGGCTTCGCTAGCTCATGGAGATTGATCCACTGTTTCTTGGAGGTGTGGTTTGCCTAGTAAAGGAAGGTGCTACTTGCCGTTGTCTGATGATGCTCCGTATCACTCCGAGGAATTCTTAAGATGCATCAGGGTCCTACACAATTGGTAAATATTGGGGGATTTCTCGACACAATTGGTAAGAATTCTTAAGAGGAATTCTTGAGGAATTCTTAAGATGCATCAGGAATTCTTAAGTCATTAGAAAAAGTGGAGAAGATTTAACAGAACTTAGGAGAGTTTTTCTTATATCTGTCCCTTAATATGATTTTAGGGATTGACTTTTATACCTGATTAATGGGAGGAGGGTGTTCGATTGCTCATTCTCATTTTAGCTTCCTGAAGGGTTCATTTATATCGATGGCTAATGAACATGTCTTCTTATTTGATTATGTCAGGGAAAGATGATTGGGGGCATGTCATTTGCCAAGGTAGGGGCATGCTTGAAACTGACAGAGGATGGGGAACAATATCAGGTGCCTAAAGAGTTAGACGACACCGTCTAAGATTAATGCTCCATGGGATTAAGTATGCGAACCCCTGTGAAATTATGGCGAGGGTGGCGCGATTAAGGGAAAGTCAAGAAATTAGGTCTAGTTGCCATGCACCACTATCTTGTGTGACTTTCCATGTGCGTGTTGATTCCAAGTGACGACCTTTGATCGGTCAAATCAGTAGTGTAGCTTTTGTGTCATTGTTTTCCCTATCATTCGTCCCCTTAGAAGTCATGTCTCAGGCTCCGACATGGGTTTCGAGGTGTGTCATCTATTTTTTATTCGTTTTGTTGCTATAGGCATTTTTCGTCAGTTTGCTTCAGCGGTCGAGTTGATGGCCAAGTCCTATGACCAGCTCGTGCTAGTGATTTCTTGACTAATGGTGGTGTGAGTTGGGTTTCTCGACCCAATCGATCTATCGCATTTTTGTTTTGCTTGTTTGACTTTTGCTATAGTAGTCATATTTTTCCATGGCATTTTTCGTCATAGTGGGTCTTTGGATTGATCGTTATGGTGGGATTTTATGGCTCCATCATGGCTTTATTCTTTTCTAGTCTCCCCCTTCTGCTTCGTGGGGGTTTGATGGTGGGCTCTCATTCTGTTGCTTCCAGGAGAGGGCACCGATTTTGGCATTTCACCTTCTGGTGGATCTTGGCTTGACCATTGTAGCGGGAGTATGAATCTGTTATGGTAGCTTCCGTCATAGCAGGTCTTGTCCCAACCATCATAGTGGTAGTATGAATCCACCATGGTAGCTTCTACCATAGCGGGTCTTGTCTTAACCGCCACAACGATAGTATGAATCCACCGTGGCAACTACCAGTAGTCATCTGGTTAAGGCATGGGGGGTACTTGGTTTTTATGAAGTGAGTTAACCATGGCAGGGTTTGTGCTTGATGGTCCTGATCATGGTGGTGTTCCTCTCGCTTGGTGAAGGGCTCTGTGGGCCTCGAGACTTGTCTGTCCCATTGGGCTTTGGAGTCTTCGATCCGTTATGGATAGGCTTGAATCCCATTACTGTGGGTGTAGTTGACGTGGCAGAGATCTCATGCCATCCCAAAGCAGATTTGGGCGTGGATAGCTGTCTCACCATGGGAGGTGAGGGGTCTTTTTGGCTTCTCTTTAGTTGTCGAGAAGGCTTTATCTATGCCCTAACTTTTTCCCGATTCCTGCTTGCTTGTGGGTTTTCATTTTTGCTCAATCCCCCCATTGTTACCCTAAGGACTTGCTTTGTTGTTCCCTTCTTTCTTTCGATCTTTCGTTTCCTAGATCAAGATGTCTTCTTCCTCATACTCTAGTTCATGTTATCGCTCCATCAGAGCTTTTGGTCCATCTCGAAGAGTGGTGCAAGGTAGTTCTTCATCTTTGAGGGACGCACCACGAGTCGACCCAAGAGGTTTGTGTGACTTGAGATTGGTGAAGGATGCACATGGCTATGATTCACTCCTAATGGTGTCTTAATTAGAGTAGATGCGACCTCGTTATCGCATTCCGGTTGGAATACACATTGTCTGTTCCTGAACCTAGACAACGTCCCTTCCACTCGGCCCTTGGGGGTTTCTATTTATCCTATGATGCTTTTGAGGTGGGGTTGCATCTTCCTTTCCATCTTATCATTGTGTCTTGTCTCGAACAGTGGCAAACTTCTTTATCATAAATGGCGTTCAATTCATGACATTATTTGGTAGCCTTCATTGGTGAGTGTAGGGGAGTGGGGGTCATCCCTACCCGTGCCTGTTTAGCTCCTACTTTCACCTATATAGAGGGCCGAGTGGCTACTATCTATCCGCTCGAGGGAGATTTAAGGTCAGTGGTACTCCTTTCAATAACAAGGGATGGAGGGCGAGGTTCTTTTTCATAAGTGCTCACAGAGAATGGGGTTTTCCCTTAGCTTGGTTGGCATAAGTCATTGACAATACTCCTCCTGCTTTGTCGAATAAGGATACTATCAACATTCTCTGTTTGAGGGGGATTCTCTCCACTTCAGGTGCTATAAGGCAGATAGATGAGGATTGGTTAGTTGAGGCCGGTCTAACCTTGCCTCTAAAGGGTATGACTTGATTTCCTCCTGCATCCTTTTTTGTGTTGTATCTGGCATCTCCCATATGTTTCTTAATTTTGCGGGTATGGATCTCTCATATCTGAGGAGGTATGGTCCTTCAACGGGTTCTTTAGCTTCTTAGAATGCTCACATGATGGGTAGTTTCTGTTGGGAAACCTTGGGTAGTATCACATGCGTAGCGAAAGAACAGAAAACAAAAATCTTAGATTTCCCATAGAAAAGTTTCTCATCCTTGTGCGAACGATTAGTGCATGGAAAACCTGCAAAATTGAAAACTGCGCATATGTAAACGATGTGTTACCTAAGGAGATCATATATCCCTTAAAATTTTTAGATCTATAGGAAAGGATGAATGAGGTTAGATGTCATACTCTCTAGTAGTGATCTATATGGTAGATGCAGTGAAGACACTCCTCATATAGCTGCATGAGCTTCCTCTCCATGCCCATCACGTGATCAAGAAGGGGCCAACCCTTCTTGCTATCCACATGTCCCAAACTGGGGCTATCGGCTAAGGAGGAGAGGTAGATAGAAGAATAGGAGGTGGTAGCAAAAAAGAGTTTAGCCTATGCCTCTTTGGTTCCCTCATATTTATAGAGGTTCCTGTTAACTTAACCCTAATGGATCATGCCCTATTGGGTATTAAATTTTCATCCAATTACCAAAGCCTCTTGGATTAGTGGATCTCTACCCAATAATCTCTCATTGGCTCTTATTAGATTTTATTCATAAGATACAATAATTATGTGCTTATTAGATATCCAATAAGATAGGGGGTACAACGGATATCTCATATTCGAATCTCTACTCGTCGTAACATCTACGTGGATATCTCATATCCAATAAGATGGGCGGGTGCAATGTCTATGTGCAGGCGGCCTACCTGCATGCACTACCACTGCAAGCAGACAGTTATCACTCATCGATCGCCTACAACCCTTGCTCGTAGGTAGCCAGGCTGAGAGCTCCCTTGGGAGCTCTTGGCCAAGGCTGCAAGTAGTCTTTGGCCAACTTGTGAAGGCAATAATAGTTGCTGCCCTTTCTTGCCTTTTGCATCAATAATTTTGATGTCAAAAGCCTTTCTAAAACACAATATATGTAGTTTAAAATCTAATCTTTGCATGAACAATATGGCTTTGATACTACTATTGGAAAATATAGGGACGACATCACATGTGCAGCCGAAGAACAGAAACAAAAACCCTAGATTTTCACAAAAAAAGTTTCATCATCGTGCGAGGATTGGTGCGTAAAAATAAAAAATCACGCATATATAAGATGTGTTTTACCTAGGAAGATCGTATATCCCTGAAATCCTACAGATTTATGGGAGAGGATGAAGGAGGTCACATATCCTCCTCTCTAGCGGTGATCCACACAATAGGGGCTATGAAGACGCTCATTGAATCGTTGCCCAAATCTCCACATGCCCCAAATAGAGGCTGCTAGCTGAGAAGGAGAAGGGGAGAGGAGAATTGGAAGTGGTAACAAAAAAATGCTTAGCCTATGACCCTTTGGTTCCCTCCTATTCATAGAGACCCCCCGTTAATTTAACCCTAATAGATCTTGCCCTATTGAATATTATATCTCCATCCAACTACCAAAGCCTCTTAGATTAATGGATCTCTACCCAATAATCTCATTGCCTCTTATTGGATCTCATATATAGGATCCAACAATTCAGAGACTTATTAGATATCCGATAAGATAGGGACTATAGTAGATATCTCATATCTGAATCTCTACTCATCGCAACACCCACCTTATGTATGTGACTCTTTAAGCTTAATATCGAGCTGGCCGTAAGTCATACTTGTCATAACTTCTTCTAGCTTAGTGAATTATTATCTCAATAATAATTCACTTGACTCATTGTCTATGGACGTACTAGCCATTATGTCGTAGTCCCTAGACGATATAGGAGAATCTAATCTTTTGGACCTATCTATCCTTAGTTACTATATACCTATAGTTTCTCATCCATCTAATATCTCAGAAATCATATATCGGGCATAGTACTGTTAGGCCCATACGGTTTCTACTCAAGTCTCGCTTTAATCAGATTCTCCTAAAGAACTCTTTATCTCTCAATCCGAATGACCCTGGGCTGGGATTTGCCTAAGCAAGAATATATGAGATATTCCTCTTATGACACCGAGAGAGGATGATCCTCTATTGACACTTAATAGCCCTTATAAGGTTGGATGCTACTCTCGATAATCGGTTATGTTAGATTTGAAATTTCCAGATCTATAAGTTCGATATCAAAGAGTAGAGTATTCATACAAGACATCCTTGGTGTCTCAAGTCTAAGGACCATATACACCACTATGACGACGAAATCGCTATTTGAAAATAAGGTATCATTAACCATCCAATATTCTGTGAGCGGATAAATCAGTGAATTCATTCTTCAATAATCACGTGCATTGTATCCCTAGTGTCCCCACATGAGCAACTATAAAACCAGCCGCCTCCATCATATAGATGAGTATACAGTACACTAGTTTGTCTGATTATCCTCTTGAGTAATGTTTGACCGGGATTATTTAGGGTCTGTGTTTAAAAGTGAATCGGTCTTATTATTGTGATCTTATCATGATTCGATTCCCATTGCACAGATCCATGGACATATATATATATATATATATATATATATATATATATATATATATATATCCAACATGGAATATAAAGTGAGAAAATACCATAATAATAATAAACAAAAATAGTGCATACTATATCACATGTGTCATCACTCATTGGTTGGCTTGTAGGGCACCTATGACTAGCAGTTCCGAGTCATCCTAAGGTGCTACTTGCTCTTATCTAATGATGCTCCGCATCACTCCGAGGAACTCCTTAGACGCACTAGGGTCCTACACAATTGGTCAGCGTCGAGGGATTTCTCAACTCGACTCATCTGATACTTAAGTTAGTAAAAAAAAATAGAGAAGATTTAACAGAGCTTAGGAGAGATTTTTTTGTGTCCTTACCCCAATCTGGTTTTTAGGATTGACTTTTATACTTGATTTGTGGGAGAGTGACTGACTGCTTATTCTCTCATTAGCTTCCCAAATTGTTAAGGGTTCATTTATGTCGACGGTTAGTGAATAGATCTTCTTGTTTGATTATGTCAGGGAAAGACAACTGGGGGTATATCGTCTATCAGGGCAGGAGCATACTTGAAATAGATAGAAAATGAGAATTGGCAAGAGTTGAGTCATGCCGTCTAAGATTAATACTCCTTGGGATTAAGCGTTCTAACCCCACTAAAATTATGGCTACGGATGATGGATCACTTGTTAAATGGTGGTGTGATCAAGGAAAAGTTGAGAAGTTGGGTCTGATTGTTGTGCACCACTCGCTTGTGTGGCTTTCCAAATGATGGGCCTATGGTCGATCGAATCAGCAGTTTTGCTTCTAACCCATTGCTTTCCCGATCAACGAAAAATATAGATAAATCGCTTCCAACGTCTTCGTCGCCGTGGTCTTCAACAATATAATTCCTGAGCGTGGAATCCAGCACCTGTCTGCAGTCGTCAACCAGTTCATGGTCCATAAAACAGAACACGTCACTTTTTTGGAGCATTGACCGATTCGAAGACTTCGTGGTGGTTTTTATAGGTTTTGCATCTTTGAATTTTTCTCAGCAGTGACGTCTTATATATCGCACTCGATGGTATAGCTTAATGTGCAGAACTGTGGACGAGCTGAACAGTCTGGTTTCATCGTATTCTGCAGATGAAGCGCTTTCAGATAAACCTGTCAACGCTCCCACTGCAATCCCGACGATCCTTAGCCCCGTCCACTAACAGCCTTTCGTTGAAGAATTGCTCTCAAACAGCGATCGATGATGTCAATTCTAAGATGAACTAAATATATATCGCCTGACTCTTTCATTGCTCTCCAGCAACCATTTCAATAGCTCGCCGGTGTGGCACAGCAGCCAAATGAAGGGGTTGACCGGAGGCGTGGAGGTCAAGCGGCATCCCATGAAGCTGAGTGGGAGTTAAACGATACAAGTTCCCGAAGCATACGCAGAGCGTCCCTTTGGTTGAATTGAGTTCAAACTGACCCAAATCCAAGCCAAACTCACTCAGGATCCAACCTAATTGGAGTCAAAACCTGGTTTATGACAGTGCTTGGAGTTTTCAGATCTATGCATGAAGATCAACGGTTGTGTTGTGATCATCCATGCTGATTTGAATGGCCCAATCTCCCATCATCTTAGTGATCTCATGATATCTTTCTTCCATGGCTGCAGTTTCTGTTGCATTTCTGCAACTATTTTAGTACTTCGTTTGAAGAAGATGTAAAATACAAAATTTGTTAGGGAAGAATTCTTCTTTTGCTCCACTGTCTGGTTTATCCAAAAGAATATTTAGAGAGAGAATTTTGAGGAGAGTGTTCTGTTCTAGCATCCTTCACTTTGTGCACTTTCTTAAGAACTAAACAGAGGATTTGTACTGGTGGTGTTGAATAACCTGAACATGATTGATCACAGTTTTGTGGTCTTCCAATTGCCTTCTGTTACTTCCCTATTGAGCTTTCAGTTTAGCATGTCAAACCAGCATTTAGGTAAGGTCTTTTTGATTTAGTCTGGAGTTATATCAGTCGATTCATAGCAAATCAGAGTTAGACTATCAGGGTAGTGACATAAACAAGAAATGATGAGTAAAGCTGTCAAATCATGAAAAATAGATGAGTAAATCCATGAGCCTGTGCTGGTGTTACAGGATTGGCTAGCTGCATGGTCCTTATGAACGACATGGCCTTGATGTATGATTGATGCTGGTGCAGATGTTGCATCTCCATTAACAATGAGTTAAGATAAGGACAATTCTGAAGATTGTACTTCAAGATGTTAACATGTGAGTCGGCATCTATCACTCATGTGATCAAATAGAGAGAGAGAGAGAGAGAGAGGAGTATTAG